TAAGTACATGTATATTTTCATTTAGAATTTATTGTGTTTACCCGTTTGTATTTTATATATGTATTTTTTGTAAATAATTTATTTATTTATTTATTTATATGGTATTGCATATGATAAATTAAATAATTTTCGTCCTTTGTTTTCCTTGTATTAGTATATTGATGTGTAAATAGTATATGAATGTTTTCTAATTATGATACCCTTACAAGTATTACTTGGATTTGAATCAAATAATGGGATTAAAGGTAATATCTTTTTATTTTAAGTTCATTGTAAGTGATTGGTTTAACGAATAAGAGGTCACTTAATAAAAGGATATCCTATCAAGCGAAATAAATAAAATTGATTTCATTTAAAATTAGGGACTGAGAAAAAGATTATGTTTTTTTAATTAAATTCACCGAGAAAATACTGTTAGAATGGATCTAAGGTCTAGTCTTGATGTCTTTAAATAATTGAACATCCTTATTTTCATTAAAGGTTGGTAAAATAGTTAATTATTTGTATTCGTTTGGCATACGTTTTTAAATTTTCACCTTATTTTGTATGTGTTTAAAAGGGATATCAAAATAAATTATATTCAAACGTATAAGTTTATTGCAAGGACAACTAATTAATTAATTAGGTACCGATTTAGGGCGCTGTGGGGGTGTTAATCCTTCCCCATGCGTAACCAACTCTCGAACTCAATTTTTTTATAACGCAGAATGTAAAATTATCGTTTTAATTAAAATTAATATTTTATTAAAATGAAAAATATGTTTTGGGTGTCCAATCACAACATAATCAAATATTGGTGGCGATTCCACGAACCGGTTTTGTTTTTTAATTTGAGTCCCAAATTATTCGAGGCAAATGTTTTTATAAAATCCTAATTTTTTTTAATCAACCCTCGATTTTAAAAAGGAGCATCTTGACAAGGACTATGTGTGCTTGTTGAAGAAGAGCTTGCACGATTTGAAGCAAGCTCCAAGGCAATGGTACAAGGTTACATTTGAGTTTGTTTTTGGGAAGCAAGGCTACAAGAAGACTACTTCTGATCATTGTGCTTTTGTCAAGAGATTCTCTTATGATGGTTTCATTATTCTTTTGCTCTATGTTGGTGATATGCTTATTGTTGGTCATAATGCTTCTAGAATTGAGAAGTTGAAGTAGGAGTTGAGTAAATCCTTTGCGATGAAGATTTGGGACCAACAAAGTAAATCCTTGGTATAAGATTGACACGTGATAGAAAGGCCAAGAAATTATGGTTATCACATGAGAGGTACATTGATAAGGTACTTCAGAGATTTAGTATGGACAAAGCTAAAGTGATGAATACTCCCTTTGCTACTCACTTCAAATTGAGTGTTAAGCATAGTCATTCCACAAAAAATGAGAAGGAATAAATGCATAATGCTCCTTACTATTCAGTCGTGGATAGTTTGATGTATGCACGAGACCGGACTTGGCTTATGTTGATGGTACAGTTAGTCGGTTTATTTATAATCCAGGCAAAGAGCATTGGAATACAATGAAGTGGATCATGAGATATCTTTGTGGTAGTTTCAACTTGAAACTTTGTTTTGGTAATGAGAAACTTGTTATTGTCGGATATACAGATTCAGATATGGTCGGAGACTTTGACTCGAGGATATCTACTTCAGGTTATTTGGTCACTTATGCAGTGGGAGTTGTTGCATGGCAATCTAGATTGCAATAGTGTGATGCATTATCCACCACTGAATCAGAGTTCGTTGCAACGAATGAAGCGTGCAAGGAGATACTTTGGATGAACAAGTGTGTGCATGAACTTGGTTTCACACAAGAGAGGTATATCATGTATTGTGATAGCTAGAGTGTGATTCATCTTGGTAAGAACTCAACTTTTCATGTTAGATCAAAGCATATTGATGTGAGATACCATTGGATATGAGATGTTCTTGAAGCTAAGTTGTTAGAGCTTGAGAAGATTCACACTGATGATAATGGTATCGATATGTTGACGAAAGCTTTACCAAAAGTGAAGTTTGAGGCATGTTGTTTGACCTTCGGCATGGAGGCATTCCCCATATAGTTGGAGGGGGAGATTTATTGGGTGTGGGTCTCACTATGTGAGGAACCCATCACCTTAAAAAGGAGTTACAACCTAAAATATAGAGCAGCTTGAAAAGTAGTGCAACGTAAAATATGAAGCAAATTGGAAAAGTGGTGCAACCATAAAATAGGTTGCAGCCTAAAATGGCAACCATAAAATAGGTTGCTTGTTTGTTGAAAAAGAGTTCTGTCATGCATTTATTGTTTCCTTGGACTTTGGTAAAAAACTATTATTCTTTTTGGCTTATGTGAAAAAGGGTGGGCAGCAAAAAAAATTATCATATTTGAAAAATAGAGAGAAGCTCGTGTTCGAGAGAAAACAAGAGGAGAAAAATTAGTTTTTGTGAAGTTTGCACAATAGTGATCAACTCTTCAATTAGTGGTCCATACATGGTTCGATTGAGCTGATTTTTGGACAGCAGCTAGGTGACAAGGTGTTCTTGACTTTGTACGGTCAAATTTTTCATCCCAGTCTTGTAGCGTTAGAAATACCTTTTTTTAGCAGGTTGCATTTTGGTGATGTTCTCCCATTTTTCTCTCTTTTGCTAAAGAATGGTTATTAGCCTTGTTGAAGTTGTATGCTTGGTGTAGGTTGGTTATTGTAGTCTTGTACTTGAGCATTTGTTGATAGTGGAGCTTTTGATCGGAATCTAAAGTCTTGTGGTTTTTACCCTTGATTTAAAGGGGTTTTCTACGTAAAAATTTAAGTATATCTATTTATTTGTATTGTGGTTGCATTGGTTGATGTTTGGTTGGTTAGTATTGCTACAGAACAAATATTTAGTGCTATTGTGTTAGTCACAATTATTGACAATCGTTATAGGGAGAGAAAGAACATCGGTTATGCTTCCGTTTTGTATCGGTTATTCGGTTTCTTCCCCAACAGCTATTTCCGCAACCCTTTTTTGGATAAAGAAAAATTGTGTTCCCTTGCTATATGGCGTCATTGTGTTCCCTTGCTATATGGCGTCATGTTGTGCACCGTTTCTCATTCATGCTAGAGAGCAAAACTTTTCTTCTCAAAACAAGAAATAGTATCAATTAAAATTTGGATGTTCTATATATTTGTAGCATATCAAATTCACATAGATTTATGCTAGGAGCCGAATTTATAAAACTTTAGAGGTTATCAAACTTATAAAATTTTAGGGAGCTGAAAATAAATTATCAATAGAAAATACAAATAAAAAAACCTAGAAACAATAGAATGTAAAATTTTCATGAATATGACTACCCCACAAACCCCTCGGTCCATCTATATATAAACATATGTAAAATCAAGCATATTTAAGAAAACATTCATAGATAATACAAAATAAGTGAGAGTAGATTTTTCTGTCTTACCTCTCTCGCACCCAAAATAACCTATTTCCCCTTCATAACCACAACAAATTTAAATCTAGCAACACAATACTATTTGAACCGATAATCTACCAATACTTTAAAGAAAGCAGTTCAGTGGAAGAAGTAGATGTAATATATTTGATCTTCTACAACTTTCCATCTAAGAGTTGGGCCCTAATTAATTCCTATATATAGTCTATGCTCATTTCTAATTTTGAGACATAAAACAGTGTTTCAAAATTAAATTCAAATTGCTATTGTGGATATTACAATTTTTATTAAAATCTTCTTTCCTCGACATTAGTATCTTAAGCAATATCAACGGTTTGAATTTTGATGTTTTGAATATGGATGTAAATGAACATAGCATTTGATGATTTTTTTCGTGAATCGTTCATATAATATCCATTTATGTTCGATTATTAAGCTAGATAAACGAGTATGAACATAATTTTTGTGTTCATGTAATAAATGAACACAAACAAATGTGTATTCAATTTGTTTTATATTCACGAACAAGCTCATTTATTGGCTTGTTTATCGACTCGTTTATAAGCTCGTTTACTCGATTCTCCTTTTCCTTTTATTTTTTCACATTTTAAATATCGGTGAATATAGGACTAAATTGAACATAAGATGAACTTTGGAGTTCAAACTATGAAGTCTAAAGAACTTAAGGACTTGTGTTATGATTTCATCATTTTTTGTTGACTTACACATAAAAAGATAAAAAGAGAATGTTGGTTGTCTAATATTAAACGAACGTGCACGGACTAACTTACCTCATTCGTTAAAGGAATCATTGTTGTTCCTAGAGGTCATAGGTCCGAGCACCAGCGACTGCAGCGGGGTGATTGAGTGTTCATTGTCAAATGGTTGATAGTATATTTAGAACATATACTACTTGTAATCACCTTAGCTTAATAAAAAAATTAAACGAACGTTAAAAAACATGTTCCTGAATTTTAAATGAACATGTTCGCGAATGCTAAATGAATATGTTCATGAACGTTAAACAAAAGGGCATGAACATCTTCAAATATAAATGAATGAACATGAATAAGATACTAAAAAATTAAATGAATACGAACCAAACATGAACACCTTCAAAAATAAATAAACTAACACGAACATAACTCTATTTATTCAAGCTCGATTTATTTAAACCCTTAGTTATGAAAAAAAAAATTAGATTGAGAGAATCATCCAACCTATATAATATACCAAATCTAAATTAATCATTTAATAAATTAAAAACAAATTGTATTATAAAATAACCCAATAAATGAGGATGAACTCTACAACAGGTAGATTCAAGTGTTGTGAATTTGGCTGGGTACGGCATCCTAAAGTTGAAGGCTGAAACTTGGCAGGAACTTGAGTTAATGAAGCACAAATAATTGGTCTGTTTGAATGCGATTATTGAACTAGAAAGAAGCCCATTTATCAATCTATCCGAGTGGACTCAGTATCCATGGCGTCAAAAGAAGATGCTGTTGAAGCAAAATGTGTTTCTTCTGCTAGGTGGCTTAATCTCCGAACAAGACTGTGTATTCAGGGCATATCTGATTTCCTTCGACAATAAGGAAAACCCATGTCTTTCTTTCAAGATTTTTCACCTGGTAAGAAGCTTTCTTCATAGTTTCCTGTATCATTTCGTGAACATGAAGGTCTAGTTAAGGTTTTCTATATTCCTTTTTTTTTAAATGTTATTTCTCTCTTCGTGTTCGTGCAAATTGTCTGATGTTGTATCCGTTAATGTTAGTTTATCAAGACAAGCTGCAGGAATTCTAATTGTTGATTTATGAACAAATTTCTTTTTCCAGAAAGTGAACACATGATATTGTGTTCGTTAATCCAAAATCATAAATGTATATAAGCTATGATAAATTTAAGCTACACCCTAATTAGGTAGGGGGAAATATATATATATATATTGATGTTTATCTTATTGTGAAAGGCCCGATGCACTGTACCTTTTAAGGGAATAAACTATGGGGTATGATTTTTTTGAGGGTTTGAATGTAAGTGTTAAATATATTTTCAGATATTTGATGTCTAAAACAATGCTCTTTCCTTATATTTTTTTTAGAGTAATTTATTTCTTTAATTAGTAAACTTAGACTTTAGGTTTATAACTTAGATTTATACCTTTTTTCGCCTAGTCTTTAAATTGAGGGAGTAATTCGAAATCGACTAAATGTCCAAGGGATCATTTTCGATTACTCGATCCAAAAATTGGTTAAAATTACCTAGGGTTAATAATTAATCCTTTGACATTAGTTTTTTCACTATTTAGCCCTTAGACTTTTAATTAGGTTTTCTTATAACATAATTAATTAGGTCATTAATTAAAGCCTTCATGTTAGTTTAATTTCACTTTAGTCCTCTAATTTAGGGAGTAATTTGAGTTGGCCCTCGCCTACATGCTCAAGGGACCATCTCGATTATTCGATTCAATAACTTAGATTTAAATCTAATAGAATTAATAGTAGAGCCTCCATTTTCAGGTTTAGTCCTCTTAAGTTCTTTAATTTTCATAAATCGACACTTTAGGTTAGGGGAAACCTTAATTAACTCACCTAGAATAATTAGGTATGATAAAAAGTTGTTTGCTTGTGTTTGGATTTAAAATAACAAGCAATGTTGATTTACCGAGGAGTTAATGGTGTATCCTCTGCATTATGCTCAAGGGGTGAATGTTGGTTATTCCCGAAGTAGATGGATATCATTTTCAAAACTCTTCATTTTTTTTAATTTCGAGGCAATGTTTGGTTATTGGACACAATAATTGATCTCTCACATTCATGCTAGGGGTGAATATTATTGGCTTTAATAAATGAGCACCCTCTTCGACTTTGCATCTATAGTGATTTCTAAATTAAATAAAACTTCGAACTCCAAATTTTCAAATTTTAAAATAGGGTAATTAACTAGGTACCAATTTCTGGGTGTTGTGGGGTGCTGACCATTCCACACGCGTAACCGACTCCCGAACCTATTTTTTGGTTTTCGCAGACCTCTAAACTTGATATTTTGATAAAAATAAAATGTTTTACTAAAATTACCCAGTTTTTATAGTGTTCCAATCACACCTTAAATTGTTTGGTGGCAACTCCCACATTTTATAAAATCGTTTCAAAACCTTTTCAAAGAAGAACTCAACATTTTAGCACATGTAGGCCTGCTTATAACACAAATAAAACTTCATATGCATTTAGACAACCACATCATCATACTTATAAAAATAAAAAATCACATAAAACGTGAGCTTCCTTAAATTCGTTCGTTGCTTTTCACAAATAGAGTTTCGGAAATACATTATATGCAACTTGAAAATCATTTGGTTTTTCGTTTTTATATTGGCCCTCTTTTGGTTTATATCAATTGTAGGCCTTGTCATGGCAATTAGAGGCCAAAGGGCGAAAACCCTCCCATGGATCTTGCAAATTCTTCCCACAAATTCTGTGCTTCTTTTATCTGGCATGGTGGATAGAGTAGCCTGTAGATATCAAAAGAAAAAAGTGAAAAGAATGATTCGGTTTATAAATCAAACTAGTGTGACCACCGAATCATCAGTTCAATTCATACGTTATTGTTTGTTGGGAAACAATATTTGTATATTGGCTGGGCATCAGGTAATATAGAAGTTATACATATACATGTAGAATAATGAATTCTTTGGTTAAACTTCAGTTAATTCCAAGAACATATAGAGTATGGGTCAACGACGGTTCTATCACCAGTCACGCTCTCCGTTCAAATTAATAGGGATGAACCATCGAGACTAACGAGACCAATATGCTCCCATCAACAATATTTTTATAATTATAGTTTTCTTAATTTAGAATTAAAATAAAATTATTAACCAACAATAATAAGCTGGTCTAATAGGACAAAGCACTAAATCCTCTAAATAAAGTCCTAGATTGAAATCCTAATCATATAAGTGGATCAAATTAAGTAGCCAGGCCGCTCAATTTAGAATTAAAAAAATGCAAAAACTAGCCTTTTAACCAGTCCAGTCTCCCCCAAAACGTGGATACGTACAAGCAATTCTCTCCGGAGCGTTAGAATTGCTGACTCCGTTAATAACAAAGAAACCAACATGGCCTCCATAGACAGTCACCGAGACGGGGCCGATATCTACCATGGTGCGGCTCTTTGCAAGCAAAAATTGCGAGAGCTCCTCGACAAGTTCCGTTTCCCTAGAGCACTGCTGCCGTTGAGCGACCTCAACGAGTTCGGATTCAACTCGATTACGGGGTTCATCTGGCTGAAACAGAAGAAGAAATTTGAGTACAAGTTCAAGTCGATCGGGAAAACCGTCTCGTACGACTCGGAGGTGACGACGTTCATCGAAGAGCGCCGGATGCGACGGTTGACGGGTGTGAAATCTAAAGAGATGTTCATCTGGATTACTGTTTCTGAGATTTCTATCCTTGACATTGATCCTTGCAAGATCACATTTGCTAGTTCGTCGGGGCTGGCCAAGACTTTTCCGATCGAAGCTTTTGCTTTGGAAGATGAGAGGAAGTGAAGGTTTTTATTTAAATTTTAAGTTTAGTTATTGAAATGTCTGAAATAATTTACTAAACAATTATTTAAAGTAATTTAATGAATATTTGAGATTTATTTTTTCTTTTTTTCTTGTTGATGGGGAAAGTGATGTCGTTCCATATCTTTCGTCTTCTTCAATCCCGTAAACAATTGGTTACAAGTTTTCGTCTAAATAAAAAATAAAAGGTAAAGAACCAAATGGTCCCTCGATTATAGGGTGTTATTTTATTAAGTCCCTCAAGTATTAAATGTTATAAAATGATTTTTCGACTATGGAGTGTTGTTTTATTGAGTCGCTAGACTATTAAAAGTTACAAAGTGGTTCTCAACTATTCATTATGTTTCAGACTCGTCATTTACTGTTAAAAAATTATCAATTATTTAAGTTTGATGTTAACATGATGATTAGATATGATCAGGCATGTATTTGAGCATGGGCAAGATGGGCACTTCCTCTGGCCCTCTCCTGCCCATGACCTAAAATTATAGGGTTCATATATAATTAAAAAGGAATAAATTATTTATTTAGACACTTACTTATTATTCTATTTTTGTTTTGGTCATTCAATTATTATTCTTTTAAAATTATACTTATTGTTACATTTTAATTTTTTGTTATCCTTCATTAAAAAATAATAGTGATTGTGACGCGATATATTTAAATTATTTTTCATTTTCCATTTAATTATATTTTTTATTAATTTTTTGACAAGTTGGATAAAGTTAAAATCGAACATAGACCCTCTTAAAAAATGGTCATGCTTATTTTTGTGTGAGTAGTTGTGTTTTTAATAATTTTTTTGTGTTTTTAAATTTGATGTATTTATTAGATAGTTTATTAAACGTAATAAAGAAAACAATTTACAAACAAATTTATTTATTTATTTCTTACTCTTACTATTTAATTTTTCGATACTTTTTTTTGGATGCCTAATTTCCATATTCGTCTCAGGCCACTAAAAACTCAAAAAACAGGCCTGGATATGATAGTCATTTGAGATTTTGAGATCAAATTTTATCATATCACAATTAACAAATTAACGTTCAGCTCAGAATGTCGTCCATCTTTTAAAGGAAAAGGATGAGTTTGAAATATAATGAATAGTCAGATGATCATTTTGTAACTTTTAATAGTCGAGGGACTCATCAAAGTAACACTCTATAATCAAAGGACAATTTTGTAACTTCTAATAGTCAGAGACTTAATAAAGAAATATCCTATAGTCGGGGACCATTTCCGCTCTTTACCCAAAATTAAATTATTAAAAATAGTTACGACCCCACTTTTGCATCAACGCTTCTAGAAGACTCCTATTTTACCTTCTTGCTTCCTTTCATTAGTTTATGTAATATTACGGGAATTAGAATATATACTAATAATGTATTTTAGACTTCTATAAATTAAATTCCTATCACTGAAATAAAAAGTTCAATATTTCAACAACATGTTGCATGATCAGGACGGAGTCACAAAGTTTTTAGGAGGGGTTGTGCTCCCAGCCAAAAATTTGTTTTTAACCTTTAATTTATATATATAATTTAATATTTATGAGATAATTATGAAATTGCCCCCAATTTTAGAAGAATTATACTTTACTCCCTCAAGTTGAAATCCTAACTCTGTCCCTATATATGATCGACCGGATGATATATCATGAGTTTATTAAGGTAATCATGTTCGTCTATCTATAAGTGTGGTATGTGATATGTCACATGGTCCTAAAACTTGGGAGTCACATTTTGAAGAAAAAAAATGTCACAATTTTGCTTCTAAAATTGTTCAAATGATGGCACTTTGTAATAAAATACAAACGAGTGTTGGCACAAGTTGTTGAGATTCAGAAATTTGAGCTTGTAAAACCAAATTCAAATCCTACCACCGTCATTCTTGGTTGACAATCTGTAAATTTCTATCTAAATCTCAATTGGGTCTTATGTATGCTTTGGGCCCGGACTGGGGGAAGAGCCACCCGTGACTTAAACTTTAATGTACCAAAAAAATTTGTAATAAAATGTCACGATTATAGTTATTTTATGACATTATCTTAGTTTCATATGTTTGATTTATTTTATAAGAAGCAATCGTAATATAATAAATTTTGATGTTTTACAATTTCACCTTATTATAAAATATTTTAGGGTTCTAATTTTAAAAATAGATAGAACATGCATATCTTTTAGGATGGACCTATAATTAATTTGTAAGAAGAATTAAACAAATTCAAACAAAATTTTAGATTGATCGCCTATTTAAAATTTGGACAATTCTAAAATGAGATACCCATAAGAAGATAAAATAAAAGTATGATCTACTATTTAGTAGAAGGTGAATTACGAAAAATGTTAAAAGAATTATACATTTAGATAGAGAAGTTAGGTATGATGTGCATGAGCCAACTTAGCTCGGTGGTTAAAGGAATCGTATAGCTAATAGAAGTTACGGGTTCGAGAACCAACGACTATAACAAGGTGATTGAACGTTTATTGTTAAATGATTGAAAGTATTTATAACATTTACTATTTTGTAATCACTTTAGTTTAAAAATAAAAAAAGAAGAAGAAGAAGTTAGGTATAATGTTAGAAATTATTATAATTAAGTAATTACCGTAGAAATTATAACAAGAAAAATGAAAACTATTATAATAAATTTGTAATTTATTACTATAAAATAGTACGAACCAAACTACTTTAGTAGTTAAGATAGATTACAAGTTCGAAGAGCACCATGTATGCAAGAATATATAAACATTCATTGTCAAATGATCGAGATTATTTGTACAAATATTACTTTATATTCATCCTAAATTAATTATCTAAAATATTTATCTCGAAAATATTTTTAAAATATCACTATATTAATGAACCTATAATTGATTAGTGTGTGAAGTGCTAAGTACGAATTTAAAAACAATAAATGCTAAATTTTATATTAAAAAAAATATTTGTATAAAACTATTCATTGAATGAACAAGTGAGTGTTCAAGGATTTGTATATAGATTTACTAATCTTATGTTTGATTATTAATTGATAAAATTTTAAATGTTTTAAACTTCATTTTGAATATTATTAGTAACATTAGTATGTGTATATGTTTGTATGATCAATCATCCAAGGAAGGCGCGGAAGAAGGGAATAAGAAAGGAAAGGATATGATTCAAAGGTGAAACCTTTGGATCAAACATTGGTATTGGTATTGGTGCATTATCGATACTATAAAAATAATATCGGTATTACTTACTTAGAAAATCATCATTAATTAAACCCAGTCCCTATAATATCCAGGCCTTTCGAATTAAACCCCAACCTTTATAACTTGCAATTTAATCAAAATTCAAATAATTAAACCCATAGCCAGCATACAAAATAAAATTTCCAGCATTACAAATTCTTGTTCAAAATAATACAAACATATTTCCAAACTCACAAACAAGTCCCTAAAGCTTTAGGACTTTTCGCATTCCACCATCAAAATTTACCAAACATGAAATTTGGTTTCAACCAAGTTTCTAACTTAAAATTCCAGCATATCAATGATAGAAGTTAACATTAAACACCTCAAATATCACATTTTTAAAATAATATCTCACAATTCTCAAAACATGGAAATTAGCCCTTTTCCTAAATCAAGTTTCCAAATTGACTCAAATTGATCTCCAAATCACATAAAATACTTCTAATATCAATTCTAAACCATATGAAATTTTTCAATATTTTCCACCAATTTATCCCCTATGGTCGAATGCTTATTACTACCTAAGGTAGACTTTTTGAACAATTTCAAGCATAAATTCAACTTCCTATGATCAAATTCATGCATTTCCAATCATCACAACATCAAATTGAATCAAAATCCTTATAAAACCTAAGTTGGTCAAACCTCATACAAGCATGTATAAACAATTTCAATCATCTTACAAGCCTTAGAATTAATCTCTAACCTTATGTCGACACTCATTTTTTCGTCTCGTCTTTTAATATTTTATTATTATTATTATTATTATTATTTTATTTTACATTTGCAGGCCCAATTTACAAACTCATATTACAACAAATCCCGGAGCCTAGAAAATCAACTTGAATACCCGAAGACTAACCAGGCCCGAATTTGAACTCTAAATTAACACCAAGCCGCCAACAGTCCTTCCAGTTTCCAGTCGATGCCATGACCGAGCCGAGACCTCAGCCGAAGCCAGCTGTCGTCGCCAACCTATTATGAGCTGCCACCATTGAAATCATCTGCACAAATCATCTACAGTGACCAAATCAACACAAAGTAAAGAAAGCAATTTAATCCCGAAATTTTCGGGATTTCACTTTACCTGCCCCAAAGTCTCACCAAATCAGAGAAAAATCACTCACCTATTCTCACCTAAAGCCATCAACATGCAACAAAAGGACAGAAAACTAGGTGAAGAAAAAAGAAATAAATAAAGGGGTCTAGTCCATGAAATGAAGGGGGAATAACAAAGGAGAGATTGAGATTTTTGAGGGAAACAAATTGTAAACTGGGGGGCTTCACCTTCGAAACAGAAAAAATGTAAGCAGAGGAGTTTCCTCTGATCCTTGTCGATAAGAACAAGTAATGCAAAAGGGGTTTTCTTTATTTCTTTCAAAGTTTATATAGTAAATCTGTATTTTCTTCGTGTGCTTGTTTATATCATTTTGAAACTCAAAATAAAAGTGAGAGAGGTTGGGTTTACCTTCGGGTATGTGTGTCGTTACCACCGGAGAGTGGTGTTTTTGTTGAAGTATGGAATAAATAGTCGGGTTTAGGTTCCTAAAAAAACAGAAAATAAAGTCAGTGGGCATCTTGAAATCCATTTGTTTAGGAGATTAAGGAAAATAAAAAAAAAGGATTTTAGTATATTACCTTACTCACTGGAGATGCTGCCATTGATTTCGTCGGTATAGAGAATGGAGGTTGTCGAGAGAGTGAAGCCGAAAGACCAAGGAATCTTTTTTGTGAGGCTTTTACAGTCCTGTTTGTGTGTCTTGGACCTTAGATCGGAGGTTAGTATGGCAAGGCGAGGGTTGTGGTGAGTTTGGGTGTCGGTTTGGGTCACTATACTGCTATGTATGATGGTCGGGATTAAAGGTTGAAGGCCTCGAGTCTTCTCGGCCATGAAGAAGGCTGGGGAGAGGAAGAGAGATGGGTTAAAACGGCGCAGAGGAGAGTAAAATGAGGAATAGGGTTTGCTTAATTACCAAAACATTATATTTATAGTTAATTACCAAAACGGTAATGTTTCAATATATGTCAACTTGCGTTTTGTGAAGGGAGGAGTAAACTATGCAACTAATTCTTTGAGTTTCGAGGTGTTCTGTACGGGTCATCTCATTTCTTTTTTTACTCATTCTAGTCATCAAATCGAATGTTTGCATGTTAATTTAGTCTCTTTATTTTGTGCACATTTAATTTTAGTCTTGAATGTTATTATATTTAATTGTTGTTATTTTAGACTTTAGACCTTTAAGTTTTTTGCATGTTACATTTTAGACTTCAATTCGGGTTTTTTTATGCTTTTAATTTAGTCTATGTATTTTATGCACTTTTAATTTTAATCCAAAAAATTGATTTATTTATTTTTTGTTAATCAGACATTAGATCTCTAATTTTTTTTGCATATTACTTTTTTAGTCCTGCATATATTGGATTTATTCCGGTTTTAATCCTTTGTAATAATTTTAGGTACTCAATATGATAATATTTGCCTTTACTCTTTAATTGTTATTTTGTTTACATTATAAATAGTAAATTTCGGTTCAATATGATTTAGCCATTAGTTTAATATGTATAGCTATTTTTTTTAGTTTGGTATGTTATGTTTTCATTTTTTGTATTTAAGTCATTTGTATATTGCATATTAATATATATATATATATATATATATATATATATATATATATATATATATATATATGTTATAATGTGTAGTCATAAAATATGTATATATTTGTTTTTTGTATTAAAATATTATTGCATGATAATTTTTCATATATTATTTATTAATTAGATAATCATAATATTTGTTTGATATTCTCATGAGCATTACTTGACTCAAATTGAAATAAATTGACTAAGGGTAATATTCGATCATTTTAAAATTATCAAAAGAAACTTTCTAATACGTGAATATTTAATCCATTTTAATATATAACATTAAGTATTAATACTAGAACTTATATTTTAGATTTGAGCTCCTAGGTTCTTTAATTTTCATAATTTAAAACTTTAAGTTAGAAAATGCCTTAATTTACTTTTAGTTTAATTAGGACAAATAAAATTTTGCTTGATTGTATTGTTTTTACAAATCTAAGGCATTGTTCACTTATTAAGGAATTAATAGTATATCTCTCGCGATCGTGCTAGGGGTGACTACTGGTAATTCTCTGAATAAGTCAACATCCTTTTCAAAACCGCATTATGTTTTCTAAAAATAAAGCAATATTCGATTATTAGGCACAATAGTTGATCTCCCGCATTTACGCTCGGGAGCGAATGCTATCGGTCTCAATAAATGAATACCTTTTTCAACTTTTCATCCTTAATGATTTTTATATTAAATAAAGATCGAACTCCAAATTTTTGATTTTAAATATAGGGTAATCAACTAGGTATCAATTTTTGGGCGCTTGTGGGGGTGCTAATCCTTTCCCACGCGTAACTAACTCCTAAACCTGATTTCTAGATTTTGCAAACCCCAAAACTTGGTATTTTGATAAAAATAAGATGTTTTATTAAAATCGCCTAGTTTTATGATGTTCCAATCTCACCTCAAATTATTGGTGGCGACTCTTCATATTTCAAAATAATTTTCAAAGAGAAAACTCGGTCTTCTTCCTCCGGGCAAAAGACGGTTACGACACCTTAAAAACATAATAATATTTAATCAATTCTTCAAAATCACCAAAACCTACATAAACCCTAATCACCAAATCTCAACACACAAGCATTTTCACCATGCAATTTATTTACCAATTGATAGAAAATTTCATGTAGATTAATTCTCTATTTAATAGCTTAATCAAAAAACTAATCATGTAAAAAATCAAAATGAAATTCTTATCTTAGCAAGCTTTGAAGTTTTGGCCAAGAGAGTTGAAGATGAAAATTTTCTCTTCTTGATTATTCTAGTATAATAAGACACTCTTAAAAATCAATACAATTGAATTTAAAATTCAATTATTGAGAAATTTCATTTTTTACCATTAATGAATCTTGAAATTTACCAAATGTCATTGTTATATTCTTCATTAAAATATTACACAGTCAAAGATGAATCAACTTATCTATGACTTTTTACTTTGGCCATGAAATTTTAAAAAAATTGCATTTTAGTCACTAAATCTTCCACTGTTCGGTCAAATCTGAAAAATTACACTAAACTGTGCTAAATTTCTCAAATCTAAAATATGGAAATAGCGTTTCCAACCCTTGTCCATCATCCTTCAAAATTTCGTGAAATTTTTACTCGATCCGATTTTTTACCGAACTTTAACGCATTATAGCTTTTAACACCAAATCTCGATTACCGAAGTTTTTCTTTTAGGTCAACTGTTCATTTACGACGCTAAGTTATATATTTTTAGGTCAACTGTTCATTTACACGCTAAAATATAACTTTATTTATAATTTTTATATTTTTAATAATTAGAAACATATTTAAACAATAAAAAATAAAAATCTCTAAAATTTTAAATTTATTATATATATAGAGAAATTAATAATTCATATCAAATCAGGTTGGGTCGATGATTTTTCACCTTAAATCTGATCTCGTCCTATCCCGAACCCCAAAGTTTAAAAAATTGCTCAATCGAATTAGGTCAAGACTCATCGGATTCAGGTATTTTGACCATCCCTATAAATACCCAACTTAGTTATGTAAGTTTAATGTATCAAACGAAATCATGAAAAGACTTATAGTGTATATCTTTAAACATCTCTATGATGAATAATGTACATGTATAAAAGTTTTTACTTTTAATGAATTTATATTTCTTGTGTTGAGTGATCTAATGAGAATGACTTAATAAATTCATTAATGTAAAGGATGAGTATTTACTCCTAACAAGTTTATACTTAGAAGTTTTGATGGTCATATTGAGAAGGACTTGATAAACCTATCAAGAGGTTGAAATTTTACTCTTAATAAATTCATATCTCATTAGATAATTTTTTAAGAAGAACATGATGAATAATTCTTCTCCGTTGTTGGCAAGTTAAAAAATATAGGAATTCATTATTATGTTATAAGATATTGTTTTAATTATTGTTAGTAAGAATGAAATTCTTCTTGTTTTACCTGTGGGATTAATAATAACCAAAAGCACATGATCCATATTTTGACAACGATGCAAAAGTTGCACTTTTTTTCCTATGAAGAAAAGAAATAATCTCGTTTTATCTAATTCCTAGGTTTTTAGTCTTTATATTATTCAACCAACAGGAAATTTCTTCTATCTTAACATTTATCTTTCACTAGTAAAATTTCCCCACTTGGGTTTTTTAAGTAAAAAATAATAATAAATAATATAAATGGCCAAAAGATTGAAGAAAAACTAAAAAAAACGTGATAGAAGACAAAAAAAATAGTATCACAAAAGAAAAATATCGTAACATAAAGATAGAATTATTATGTTATTAAAATAAACAAAAAAAAATCAACCAAATATCACCAACAATAATAAAACACCAAATGGTTTTGAACTTGGAAAAAAATAAAGAAAAAAACAATTGAATATTAATAAGAACTCACATGCTTTGGACTACTTATATGTTATTTACATGATAATATTTTTTTAATTTATATTTATTTTTAATACATTTTTATAGAATTATATTTTATGTTTATAAATTAAATAAAAACAAAAATATTAAAATTAAAATATATAAATATAATTGCAAACATCCAATTCAATTCAATCTATGATCATCCTACTATTAGTAGGGTAAGATATAAAGCATTGTTAACAGGGAAACGATCCACCTGTTACTGCTTAACTGCTAAAGTGTTTTCTGCTCCCGAAAGCAAGAGAATGCCAACTAAACCATTTCCATTTGCCAATACAATCATTTCATCATATCTTTATTAATTAATATATGTTTCGAGCCTACTGACCACGTTACGTTTATGTTAGATTAATCCCAAAGATTCCCATATAATGTCTACTTACCATTATAAACAATCTCCCATGTGTCTCTCTAAAATTAAAACACTTTTGTATTGTTATCAAAATTATTATCCGAGTTATTCGTCTAAACACTCAAGATTAATACATTATTAGGTTGGACAATCATGTGTTCTGATAAATTAAATGAGCCTGTCAGATATATTATCTTGCTTGAAACCTATTCGAAAACATAAATCGAATGTGATCTCGAAAAATATAGCAATGGTGTCTGAAAGTACAAGAAAAATGAAAAGATTAGAAGAATTCCAAAGACTTCAACGACTAATGATTTTATCAGTGGTTAAGCCAACAAAGCATTAGATAGCTGGCAAATACTTGATTATTTCCATAATCTTTACCTATAAAGAAAGGGCTCACTTCATCTTCTGTCAATAACTCACCTGCCCTCTCTTCCTCACCCTGTCATTCTTAAAGAGTGCTTGTTTGTCGGAAATGGAGGGTGGCAAAATGGCCATGATTTTGATTGCCTACGTTGTGGTGGTTGTGGTTTTGACCACCGGAGCCACCGCTTTGAGGGAAGATCAAGGGGCGATTCCACCATCTCCGATGGAAAGTGGGGGAGAGGCACTTGTTGTTCCTGCTGCACTCGCTGTCTTAGCTTCAATGGCTGCATGCTTCTTTTGAACTCAATTCCGTTGTTTTCCTTTAATTTTCTCTTCTCTTCTCGAATTTGATTATGTATTGCTTAAGCTTATTTTAGGTACTGCCACTGAAAAATTGGTTCTTCTTTTGAAGTATTATAATGTATATGTTAAAGTGGCTGAAATCCTCTTCCTGTCTGCATGGTCTTGAGATTTTCTTTTTCTTCCATTTTTCTTCTCGATTCTGCAAACTAAACACCACACGCTATCAGGCTCTCTTTCCTTTCGGTTAAAATACACTCCTAATCACTCGATTATTGTTTCGGATACAAAAAGATCACTTCTTTAAAAGTGAATTAAATGTATAAATTAAATTAAAATTAACATCAAATTGTAA